ATGTGGGAGTGCTAAAAGGTGACTCACTGGACTCCCAAGATAACATGGTAGGAGAAGTGAAAGTGACACAAGCCAAAGCACATCTGTGCCCAACAACAAGCTGTTCTTTAAAGCAACATTATGCAATAACATAATTTTAAACGACCGCTTCAGAATCATTTTGATGGTAGGCTACCGACTTGTAATTGGGTGAATTGCCACTGTCTTTAGGCCTGCCCCTCTGCTACTGCACTAAGTAATATTGGAATTACAGGCAGCTACAGATTAATGCTTTACATGTCACACAGCAACACAACTCTTTAGCAAGCTAGCTATAAGAAGCAGAAATATAATATACAGTGTAAGTTTTTTGGAAAAGCTTGGTATTGTCAGTATGGATATCATGGCAGAGGCCACATATACAGCTGTCATTTACAAAAGCAGAATTACACTTTCAAATGGCAGCGGCGCCAAAACTGACCTGTTGTAGTGCTGCAGCTGCTACCAAGGCTGACTGCTGCTAGTGTGGGAAATAATCTGAATAGACAGGGGTAAGAGTGAGACAAATCTATAGAAAGGTGTGTGTGGGCAATATTTTGATTGATTGCATTGTGAATCTAAGATATTTGGATTTTGATTGACTGTCTAATAAGTCTAAATAAACTAAGATGTGTGCTCATTCTGTTGGCCCATAATAACCTTGACAGAACAGCATTTACCTTCACATTAACATTTCATACCTTTGTCTGAAATGTAATAGGGCCATTTCTTCTTCATTTTGAAGTTAGTGTAACAGTCAAATAGCGAGGGGTTCAAATCCTTAAATAGTCAATTACCAATTGCCATGGGTTTCCCACAATTAATAAAATTCAAAGACGAGTTTCGACCGGAAGGAAGATTTAGTGCCAACCCGCGGGAGGAGCGTGTGAGGCCGGCCAGCCGCCCGCTCACAGAGTCCTCTGCTCCCGCCGTCACACAGACCGCTGCAGCAACAACAGCAGAGGAAAACACAGCTGGAAGCTTTTCAAACCGCTTATCTGTCTTTACATTCTGAGGAATGTAATGTGTCGCATTGAACATTACGTCGTGGCAGTTGTGTGTGGCGTCGCTATGACGACCTGCTATGTACTATCTGCAATGGAAAACAGAGCAGGGCCGAGTAGAGTCGAGTCTATCGATTTGCATTATGGTAGCATTTTTCGGCAAGGCAACAGTTCAACGTTTAGTCCTAAAAGATGATGCAACTCCGACTCTGTTTGGGCCTGGAAATTCACAATCACAACCTGTAAGTACGCTTTATTGGTTGTGAATTATATTTAAAATAAACACAACAATGGAACTTCACAGACTGTTCAAGTGCGGAGTTGTTGTAAACGCTGGCTAACACAGATAAAGTTATAGCTATAATGCTAACGTTACACCTGATGTGTAGCTACTGAGCAAACGTTCAAATTGTTTGGCCAATTGTTATGTAAAATTGAGTTTAAATATGGTTATTTTTGTAGTGGTTTATGGTAAGATGTGGAACAATGATGTTGTGGACTTAGAGTAACTTATACCATCTGCTCGGTTACGGTCAAGACTGTGTGGCTGCAGCCTGGAGCGGCTTTCATTTGGATCACACTACCTTGTTTCTTACGACCCGCCCTTCTCTGCTTTTGATTGGCTAGTAGTCCTTACCTGGGAACTGCGCATGTGCAACTCCCAACAAAGATTTTATACCAGTAAGATGCATCACTCTGTAGCTCAAGAGCGGAGCGTACAACACATAGGGTGAAAAGAGGAGCTGCAGCAATGTGCAGTATGAGAAAAATATGGTGTTTTTGGAAGATGGCCCCCAAAGATGAAGGGCTTAGTGAAAACCTCAGGCAGCAGAAACCCGAGGGTGAGGACAAGGAAGATGAAGAACCTTCATGGAGGGACAAGCTGCTGCACGGCATGTACCACAGACAAATAGAAAAAGTGGCTGATATCAAGAAATCCTACCAGTGGCTGGAAAAGGCTGGAATAAAGGACAGCACAGAAGCACTAATCATGGCGGCACAAGAACAGGCGCTAAGCACAAGATCAATAGAGGCTGGGGTCTACCACACCAGGCAGGACCCCAGGGGCAGACTGTGCAAGGATGCCCCTGAGACAGTACAGCACATAACAGCAGGGTATAAGATGCTGGCAGGAAGTGCGTACATGGAACGCCATAACCAGGTAGCTGGCATAGTGTACAGGAACATCTGCCATGAGTATGGGCTGGAAGTCCCAAGGTCAAAATGGAAGACACCTCCTAAGGTAGTTAAGAATGACCGAGCTAAGATCCTGTAGGACTTCAAGATCCAGACTGACAAACTGGTAATAGCTAACCAACAAGACATCATGTTGATCGACAAACAGCAGAAGAAGGCTGCAGCGATAGATGTGGCAATCCCAAGCGACAGCAACATCAAGAAGAAGGAAAGCGAGAAGCTTGAGAAATACCAAGGGCTGAAAGAGGAGCTAGAAAAGATGTGGAAAGTAAGAGCACAGTGGTGCCAATGGTAATCGGAGCACTGGGGGCTGTGACCCCCAAACTGGGAGAGTGACTACAGCAGATTCCAGGTAAAACATCAGAGGTCTCTGTCCAGAAGAGTGCAGTCCTAGGAACAGCTAAGATACTGCGCAGAACCCTTAGACTTCCAGGCCTCTGGTAGAGGACCCGAGTTTGAGGATGACACATACCACCCCGCAAGGGGTGAGAGGGGGATTTATATATATATATACCCTGCAGTATTTTAAAGTAGTTAAAATTAGCTCCACCTTTATCAGCTGTAAAATTAAAGTGACGGACACGTTACACTATCAATAATTATAATACAATAATATATTATACATAATTTTACTTGAAACAGAATTTTTCTACACTGTGATTCTACTACTTTCACATAAGTAATTAAAAGATCTGTGTACTTCCTCTGCCACTGAATACAGTTTACAATTAGCTAATGTCGACGCCGACTTTTCACAGATTTATTCTGTGCTACTATTTCGGTCAGTTCCTCAAGAGTGTTTGACAATTTGCACATCTAACAGCCACACGAGCAGAAAGCATTTTGTGGCTGCCTAACGAATGTAAGCCCAATATTCACTGGCCTTTTAGCTCTACCAAATAGCTGTTTAACATTAGATGAGAGGGTTTGTGAGAGCCTGACATAAAAGATTTTTTTGACATAACAAAAAAATTGCAGGCTGCAGAGCTGCAGAGCTGGATGTTATATCTCTGTGAGCATAACCAGCCCTTTCACATACATTGAGTCATGTTTATATCAAAACATCTCTTAAAGAAGCTTAAAGTTTAAAAATTTTAATTTTTTGTTTGTCTTTCAATAACAAAGCCGTTATGTTTTGCTTCTTGTGCTCGTGTAGTATTACATTTGATTGTAATGATGATAAATAAGGCACAAACCAAAAATATCTACATTTAAAAAGTAAAAGTACTCATAGTACACTAAAAATGTCCCAGTCAGTGTTGTACTATTAAACGTGATGTTTTTGGATTAATATACTGTGTATGTTGCATTTTACTACTGTAGCTGTTTAAAGTTGCGCCAATATATTTATTATTTTAACTACTTTATATACTGTTGGGTAGTTTAATCTACAGCAAAGTATCATATTCTAGATTATCATATGTTTGCGTCGTTTTCCTGTGAGAATAATGTATCTGAGCTCAGAAAAACAGTGCTGTTTTCAGCTTCAACAATTCGTTTTACAATTAATTCAAGGGAGTTTAAATTGTTTATTTATCTTAAGGAATAGAAGAATTTTCTCAACCCATAAAGGAACACTTAATCATTCAGTTTATCAGAAACATTCAATATCACTAAATTTGGAAATACATGGTTTTCACTGGTCAGGAACTGTATGAAAATTTGTATTCTGAAAAGTAACTAAAGCTGTCAGGGATCAATACATCTCAATCAATCAGAGGAGAGGAAAGAGAGCTGGGATAGGAGCCTTGTTGGCCCAGCTTAGACTCAAGGCTGCTAGTAAAGGTCCTGTCTAGACAAAATGGGATTTATGTTGGCCAAGCAATGGAAATCGGAGACCTGCCACATCAGGCACTCGGCGGGTGGGCCTGTACGAGCTGTCGGCGCAAGACTCCGGCAAGATGAGAGGAGGCAGACTGTGTTTCCATCGATCACACTAACACAGTCAAGATGGACCCAAATGTCAGACTTTTTAATGTGAAGATGAAACCATTTTATCTTCTTGTTGCTGCTGTTTATACTCTCCACAGACACAAATTCAAAAAATGCCCTGCAGAATGTTCTAGGTGTATACAAGTGTGTATATATGTTTATAAGTACAACTGTATGTATTGTTTTTTTATTTTATATGTTACAATATTTTAATACAATTGAAATTAATTATCTTTTAAGTTCTCTGTGTGTGTAGCATAAAGGGACTACAAACCTTCTCTTCATGATATAACCTTGTGTTCTATAATGATAAATAAACTACCTTGTAATCTACCTTATAATTTGATTCCGCAAAGTAACTAAAGGTATCAAATAAATGTAGTGGCGTAAAAAGTAAAATTTTTGCCTCTGAGATGTAGTGAAATAGACATATAAAGTTGCATAAAATAGAAATACTCAAGTAAAGTACAAATCCCTCGAATTTGTACTTAAGTACTTGGATGAATACACTTTTCACCACTGAGCATAGTATGCGTTTCATTTTAAGGATAAATCTTCAACACCTCTTGTCATAGTCAGTTTATGTACTACGTTGCAATACTTCATTTTCACCACAAGGTCGCAGGCTGAAAGTACTAATTGTGCCTACAAACATTAACTACAACTCCCAGCATCTGGCTGAGTTTACGGAAGTGGAAAGCCGTTAGCAGATGGTTGCCTCGTTATCGAGTGTACGGTACACACCGACTGAATTCTGCGACGGGCGGTCACATAGATTACACTGTGAGAAACGAGAACACCGACCTCGGGGAACGCTGGTGTAGTAAAACAAACGCAACACAGTTGGGGAGCGGTGACAGTTACGAGGTGCGCGATGTTCATTGTGGTTGTAGTTGTTGTGCACAGCCTAGCATGTTTAGTTAGTAACATATCGTGAAATAAATTCGGTTATACATCAATGAAGCCGTTAAACTCAGACGACGAGGAAGCAGAGCAGCTGGGTGCTTATCACAAGGAGCTGAGACGTAAGTTAACTTTTGGCCGTGCTACATTTGCTAACACAGAGGCTTTAAAATGTGAACATTTAGTTAATGTAACGTTACAGTAACTGTTTTTACAGCTACTACGGTACCACTGCCACCTGTTGCTCTTTGCGTCCTACTGCAGCCAAACAAGCATCCCGATAGAAACATTAATGTGTCATATTGCTTTCAAGTGAATGACAGATTTACAAAACAACTGCCAGGATACCAAGGTGTGAACTTATAGTAAAGCTGAATGCTTTTCCTTTTACTTTAAATTATATTTAGCCCAAACTGGAGAACTGACACAGAATAGACTTTTTTTCAGAGACTTTTCAGTAGGACGTGTTACTAAAACATTAAATGTGACTATGTTCTAAGTGTAGAAGCTATGAAAGTGACAATTACACCTGACGTGGCAAACTATCTGCTGTAAAAAATAAAATAAGGTGTTGTCACTGGGACTGCGCTCTAGAAAGAAAATGAGAAAATGGTTGGTTGTTTGTTTGTTTGTTTAAACCACAAAGTTAATGTGGTTTGGTATGAAAAACAGTCTCTCCCACCCTGGTATAATTACCACAGTTGGGTGTGAGGAATTAGAGCAAGTAATACATACAAATACTTGGGAGTTTGGCTAGATAGCGCACTATCTTACTCTCATCACATTACCAAGCTACAGGCCAAGGTCAGGGCCAGATTGGGGTTTCTCTACCTTAATTGACACACCTCCATAAACTGGACATCATTTCATACTCGACGTAAGATCCACTGGTTTATCCTTATTTACAACACTCTCTTAGGCCTAACCCCTCTGTATTTGGGATGTGTAGTTCATCCTTCTTCCGTCACCTACAGCACCCGCTCTTCTAGTCACATCTGGCTACAAATCCCTTTAGCTAACACATCATTAGGTTGCACCGCCTTTCAGTTCGCTGCACCCAACAATTGGAACCAACAACAAAAAGCAATAAAACTTTCCACTCTAGTCACCACTGCCACCTTTAAAGGCAATTTGTTTACAGAAAACTGTAATTGCTTTATGTGATGTTATATTTTCTCATCTGGTCTCTTTCTGTCTTTGTGCCTGGTTTTAAGGTTTGTTGTTGGGACTATGTTGTTGTCCTGCGTCCTCTTGTCTATTGTTTATGTTATTTTATTTAATCCCAGCAAGCTTTCCAACAGGAGGTCTTTTCCCCTGCTAGGCCGTTATTGTAAATAAGAAACTGTTCTTAATTAACTTGCCTGGTAAAATAAAGGTATAATAAAAACTAAAACTAAAATAAAGGGGACAGTGCACATTAATCAACATAATGACTAAGTCCATTTGTGTAAATGAGCCAGATTTAGCCATACAGGCTCATTTTCATCTGCAGTTTCTGGCAGGTTGATGGCAGAACAAAAAAATTAAAACATGGCATACAGAAAACATTAAAACATACTTAGGCACATAAACACAGAGAACACAGGAGCATAGATAAAACATAGCATGTATCATATAAACACTAATCAGACACAGATAAGATGACACACAAAAAGACATCAGCGTAAGAGCACAGCAGTTTGTAAAAATGTGTTTACCTGTGCTGGTTTTGAGAGTTCATACACAAAGATGTTTAGATTTTGATTCATTCAGCAATACTAGAATGAACTATAAGAGTAATTTAAATGTGAAATGTTGAAATGTATTCAGTAGTGATGGAAGAAGTACTCTTTACTTAAGTAAAAAGTACCAATAGTCCAATGTAAAAATAATCTATTACAAGCTTCGAAAATCCTACTTAAGTAAAAGTACAGATGAGAAGTATAATCAATGTAAAATGTAAATGCTCCGTACTTGTATAGCGCCTTTCTAGTCTTTTCGACCACTCAAAGCATTTACACATCATCATAATCAGAGAAATTTAGCTACATACTAAAATAAAAAATTAATACAGATGCAGTAATGCATAAGCAGCATTTTACTGTTGTAGCTGTTTGAGGTGGGACAAGTTTTAACTACTTTGTATACTACTTTGGTTAGTTATTCTGGTGGTCCTGCCTCTCCACAGAGACACAAGATAAAATTATATTTTTGAAGAATCTTTGCAGTACATAAGTACACGTACTTATGTTTTTTTCACCACTGATGTTCGGTTAATTGTGTATAAAAAAGTCTCTTATCGTACATCCCAGTGACTTTACAAATTGTTCTTTCTCTTGTTTTGGTGGTGGGCAAATATTTGCTCCTGTACTACTTGTGTTCGTCTCTTTTAATTCATAAGTTTAAAAAGAAGGTCTGCAAATTCAGAGACACCAACTAAACTGTCATGGGTGCACGTAAATAATATACTGTATGAGACTGGTGTCTGTGTGTGGATATTGGTTTCAGAGCGGGCCAACCAGAGCATACAGCAGCTGAGCAGCACTCTGGAGCAGCTGAGCCCTGATGGAGAAGAGGTGGAGGAGCGCAGAGGCAGCGATGGCAGCCCCTTTACCGCCGTGGCCAAAGAGGACAAGGCTGCATGGAGTCAAAAGACACAGAGCGAAGCAGGTGACGCAGTGATTAGTTGTGGGACAACTGTGACAAAGACATTATAGTACACCACCTGGAGATTTCCCTGCTCATAATTGTGTTGACACAAAGTTAAAATAAAATGCTTCTCGTGTGTGTGTTTGTTGGTGTCGGTGTCTTTTGGCATCATAGTTAATCAGCTGAAGAGTCTTCTACTGAAGCAGTGCAGAGAAATTCCCTCTCCTCTCTCTCCTGCAAAGAAAGAGTCTCCATCCAAGGTAGAGTGTGCAGCTTTGCGGGGCTAAACATTCAAATGCATAAAACTATATTGCTTGCCATTCTGCTGTGGTTTGCCTCATTTTTGAGTGTCACTTCTCTTTCCTCTCTGAGAGAGTACAGAAGGAGGGAAGGTCCAGTTTGCCTGCTTTTCAAGATTTGGTCCCAATGATTGACAACCAGTCAGAGTACATCCAACACCTGGAAGCTGAGGTCAAGTTCTGCAAGGTTTGTGCGTGTAATATAATCCTTTTTATACGGTTGTGCTGATTTGGATACCTTTTGATTCATTTGTCTGTCTGCATGACATCAGGAGGAGCTGCAGGGGATGAAACAGCGGATCAGAGTGGTGGTGGTGGAGAATGAGAAATTGCAGTCAGACCTCAAATCCAAAGCTGTGGATGAGTCTCTGAAAGACTACACGATCCGAAACTCCATGGTAATCTGTGTGTGAAAATCCTGTGTAAAAAAAAAAAGTGTATCTACATTTTTACCATAGATATGAAGGCACACACATCATAAAATGTCAAACAAAGAATTAAATAATTGTGATTCTTTCCTTTACGTTACTTTGCACAAATTAATGTGGCTCATCATCTGTCCTGATGTGTTCTTCAGGTGAATGAGAGCGTGTCAGCCAATAGCCACATAGCCTCCAATACAGACCACAGTATGCTGCAGAAAGCAGAACACACCACATGGAAAAATGAACTGGTAGGGATGATGGATCTGTTCGGTTGCTGTTCAGTTTTCCTTCTCCATCTCTAACCCACATGGTTCGCAGCAGGCATGAAATTTCTTCCAAATCATTGAAAACTTGGACTTAATCTCCGGGGACACCTGCAAATATAAAATTCTTTACAATTGTGTAATTTTAAAAGAATATATGTGACTGAAAATTGTATTTCCAACTTTGTTTTCTGCATTGATTTGCAATTTGCAGTCTTTTTTAAAAAAATTTTAAGATGAAAAACAACCATCAAATCCAAAAGGAATATATATAGGAATATATATTTATTTCTAGTGCTCAAACATACAGTTTTTATGGAAAATTGTGGCAAAATCTTTTTTCCAGTTCCATCCAATGATTTGTGGTGTTTCAATAGTGCATACATAGTCTGTTCTGAAAATGTTTGTGTTCATCAGGAACAATTGAAAGGGATCTACCAGGCCCAGATTGAAAGCTTGGAGGCTCAGGTCATCTCCCTCAGGTCAGTATACACGTGAGATCTGAAGCCAGTGTGGTCTGCAATGACTATGCCTTTTTTTTGTTGCGTCAGAATTTCAAAGAGCAAGACACCTCTCCTTTCTTGCCCCTTTTCTCTCTTTGTTTCTGCATTTCTCAAATTTTGATTCTCTCTTTAGGAAGGATCTGTCTGTCAGTCAGAAGGAGTGTGAGGAGGTGAAGGTTCGTCTGAGACACAGGGAGAAGCAGGCTGCAGATGTGCTGAGGTCTCATGGAGCTCCCCCTGTGGCTGGATTGTGTCTTAAGTGTGCGCAGCATGAAGCTGTATTGGCTGGGACTCACATAAATCTGCATGTCCAGGCTATTGACAGGCTCACAAAGTCAGTGGTAACACACACACACAAAACATTCTTATCAGTCACAAGTTAGCCACGGTCTATCAGCTCTTCATAGTCTCTAGATTAACGTTTAAGTTTATGATTGTGCATTGAAATACTTTATTTTGCCTGGCCGTTTTTTTGCTGATGTCTTAATTATGTGTCTGTAAGAGATTGCTCATGTTTTATAACCAGTGTTATTAATCATTGCAGTTTCATAGCAAAAAGTAAAACAACGTATACAAATAGAGATACAAAAATAATTTCCCCCATTTTTTTAAATATTTTTTTTACGCTGGTCTTTTAGGGAGCGAGATGAGTTACTAGCGGCTCTGCGTGCTGTGCGGGCTAGTCAGCAGGAGGCGCAGCAGAGGGAGTGGTCAGCCTGTCTCCAGGTCAAACAGGCTGTGGAGATGGCAGAAGAAGCAAATCTGTACAAAGCTAGGGTCAGAGAAACATACACACACAACTTTGGCTCAAATAGCCTTTTTGATTTGTAAAGCTCTTTCACTCAGCTCAAAGATGACTCCTAAGTTGTGCTATAAAACTGTGTTTCCTCATCGTACTGTGGCTGGTTACCTCTGGCAGAAATTTGTATCTGTATGTATGCGTAGGTGGAAGTGCAGTGTGAGCAGTTGTCCCGGGAGCTGGCTCGACAGAGGGAACAGCTAGAACGAGAAGCGCACGCCCAGCAGGAGAGACTGGCTGAGGCCAGAGAGGAGTGCCGAGCTGAGGCCCGTAAACAGAAAGAGGAACTGGCACATACAGTAAATCTCACTTATTATAATGTCCTATTTATATGGTGTTGAACAAGCAGCTATGTGATTTCATAGAGCAAATAACAAAAATGTATAATGGCAGCTCTTATTTAAGTGCTTAAAATTCCTGTAAAGACTGAACACTGACAATCTTTTTATCAATGAAATGCCCATGGAAAACGTGTGTGTGTGTGTGTGTGTCAGGTGTCCAGCCTGTCCCAGCATGTTGCTGAGTTGGAAGGGCAGCTAGAAAGAGCTCACAGGGACAAGAGCTCACTGATCAATCAGCTGGAAGATGGTCTTTGCAAACTTACCAATCAGGAGCAAGACAATACCAAGGTACACTGTGTGCATTGTCCATAGAGATATTAAATTAAATCAACATATATGCATTGTTACTAAACACTGGTGCATGCATATGTTGCTCATGGTTTGTGCTGAGCAGTTTGAATTAACATGATTCAGGAAAACTGCTCTCCACTTGTAATGCTTTTGTAAATCCACTGGATGGCAGCAAAGGTTTATGTATTTAAGTATTTATTTTCAGCTGTTGGAAGGGCAAATTGAACATGATTGCATAAATAAGTTTAAGGTAAGCTAAATCCTTTATTTGAAGATGCTAGCTTCAGGTTAAAATTTTTTTGTATTGTAAAACTATGGGTGTATATATACATGCAATTTGTAGCAAAGCATTGACGTGTGTGTGTGTGTACTTGGGTTCAAGCACTGCGTGTCAGCTATAGACTGTATCTATCTGTATCTAGCGAACAACAGTCTTACAACTAAATGTACTCACCACGGAAAGTGAACAGCCAACTCCTAATAAGCTTTTTCAGTGGTGCTGGTTAAATTTACACAGTGCCGTGGGTACGAGTCACTCTAGCCTGATTGACAGGTCGCCATGGTAACGACTTGTCAATCATAGATAATCCCGCCCTGAAACATACTCTGCTTTGTGGTCTATTTTAAACTCATCAGGAAAGTGTTTACTGAGGTAATTATTCAGGGTCATTTTCCCATTATTTCTAATGGAGCCGGACTTCTTTTTGCAACCAGAAGAGTCGCCCCCTGCTGGATTTTCAATAGAATGCAGGTTTCAGGGACTTCCGCATCGGCTTCATATTGTAGACCGGAAGCTTCCCGCTTGGTGTCAGCAAATATTCACTCTGCTCTTGAAGACACTGAATCCCTACATAAACTAGTTTCTGTTGATCCTGAGCTCTGAATGTGCTTGGTGAGGGCAATTGAGACATTTATTTAGTGTCACATTTTTACATCATAAAGTCATCATGAAGTGTTTTTGATTGCTAATATAAATATATATTATTAGTGATACATTATTATGATAAAAGTCATAGTAGCACATAGTGCAGTAATTTTAAACATAAAGAATGACGTGATGTGTAGAATATGGCTTTATTCACTAAATGCATGCTTTAAAGAAAGAAGTAAGTGCAACTCAAATGGATCAGTATTGTAACATTTTGTATTTAGATCAATTAGCTTTAGCCTTGAAAAAGAAAATCTCATTACATGACAGGGTGTGATGATTCAAATGAAGGGCCTTCCAAGATAAATCTGGAAGTAATATTTGTTCATCAAAGGACTGGCTGCTTTTAATCCGTCCTCGTCATTTCAAGGTGTGTGTGGATCTGCGATATCAGCTCAGTCAGGCCCAACTGAAGAAAGAGGAGGCAGAGAGAGAGCTCCGAGAGCTCGGCACCAAAACCAGCAGACAGATGGAAAAGGCTGCACAGGTATGTCTGCATACCAACCCATTGCGTAGTTTGAATGTATTAGCGTAATTAGATGTGTTCAGTAGCGTTTAAGTCAGCCAATGTTCAGTTAGTTTTACTGATAATTTAGTCAGTAGTCATTATATTTTGAGGAAGCTCAACAATTTCTTTTGAGGTTTTAGAAGCAAAATCCCTGAAATATTTATTTCCAAGAGGCTTCTTCAGTTCTGAAGAAGGATGAGAGGCAAAATATTGAAAACTATAACCTGGATGACCGTACCATCCTTCCAAATGTTTCCCAAACCATTTGTACAAGCATCAGTTATCCACACTGCCTAGTAGAAATAAATGTGCTAATAGAGAGACCTGGTTACACTTTTAATGGCGGTCGGCTTGTTAAATAGAATACCTCATTGATAATATGAATTGCCCAGATATTTCAAAATACTATTTTACTGTTTGAAATCAAACTATTTTGAATTCTAGATGATCAAATAATGTCCTTGTTACACTCAACCTTTACATGAGGTTGTAATCAGACTTTAACGTTTTGTTTCTCTGAAGGCATAAGGTGGGTTGTTGTGAAAGATTTCCTCACCTCCTCTTCCCTCTCTCCTTCCATCTCTGCGGGACAGGAAGTGGAAAGGCTGAGCTCAGAGCTGGTTGGCTGTCGGCAGCACCTGGAGGCGGTCCAAAAGGATGGGAGCCAATGGCAGGCCGAAGCCCTGAGCCTAGCAGAACAGCTGGCAAATGCCCAGCGCCAACTGCACCTCACCAGGTAGTACCTAATCCTATTATACATGCCACCACACTCACACACACACACACACACACACACACACACACACACACACACACACACAGCGCTCCCCTCTGCCCAGCTCCTGCCCAGCTCAGCTCAGCCCAGCCCAGTCCAGTTCAGACCAGCACACCAACTGTACCGCACCAGGTAACAGCTAATCCTATTATACAAACCACACACACATAAACACACATGCACGCCGCTGTGCCATGGCCCCGGTACCAACTGGACCTCACCAGGTCACCTCTAATCCTGTTAAGCATGCCACAACATAATGCAACACACACGCGCGCAAACACACTGCCCGCTCTGTGCCACCAGGCCAGTGCCCAGCCCAGCAACAGCTCCAGCAGAGCCAAAATGGCGCGTGAGCCTTTCTTCTGTCCCTTGCGCGTGCACACACACACACACACACACACACACACACACACACACACACACACACACACACACAAAAGTGTGGCCTGATGGTCACTGGACAGCCTGGCCTTAGTGCCACCTGCTAGTGCCCTGCACCCGTTCTCACGACAGGCACTACCGGCTCCCCTCCCTTTTACCTCTATATTTTCTCTCTCTGTCCATTTCTGCATCTTTCTATCCCATTTTTTCCTAGTTCCCTGTATCACATCCTGTGTCATTCTTTTATTTGTTTATCATACATACAACCACTAACTATCTTTTCTGCTCTTAGCTATCAGCTGTCCTTCCTTCCATCCTCTGTACTTAAAAAAAGTCATTTTTTCTTCTATCATCTTCTCTTTTATAATCATCTTTCTCATTTTTTTTTTTCTCTCCTGCCCTCATGCATTCCTCCCTTCTCCTTTCCATTCCCTCTCTCCCTCCTGTCATCTGCTGGCTGCTGTTCCTTTCCACACCAGCCACTGCCAGGGCCATGGCAGCCCATGCCAGCCGCCCAGGGCACTCTCTCACCCCCGCTGCCCACAGCCGATGTGTCTGAGATGGGCACAGATGTGGCGGTGGTGCCCTGTGGTGCTGGAGGCTGCGGGATGCAAGTTTGTGTAATCTGTGTTTGTGTGTGTATGCATGTGTATTCGTGTTTATATGTCTGTCAACTTGATTGTGTGTGTGTGTGTGTGTGTGTGTGCATCCACTGCAGCTCCCGGCTTGATCTGTGTTTAAGTGTGTTTGTCTGTCAGCTGGCCAGCACTAACACACTGGCCGCATGGCGGGCTGTCGTGTGTTTAAGGGATGAAACAAGGCGTGTGTGTGTGTGTGTGTGTGTGTGTGTGTGTGTGTGTGTGTGTGTTTCAGCCAGCTGTGGAAAATGACATGCATATTAATATGCCAACATGATGACTTTGACCTGTACTAGAGGAGCCACTGGACTAAACCATTTTACTGCCATGTGTGCGGGTGTATGTGCATGAGAGAGTTTATAGTTTTATCTGTCCACAGATGCATACTAGATGTTGGACAGCTGTTGACTTGGCTGAGCATGTAACCATTCAGATTCAATTTTAGACATTAGCGGTGAAAGCCACTTCTGATACTGATTTAATATGGATATTTATTTTCGATCAGTATTGCATAAGAAGCATGTTCACGTTCAGTATCGCTAAATATTATTTAATGTCATGTTTAGAGCTAGAACTTTTAAAAAGTGGTGTTGTCATCAAGCAAGAAAACTGGAGGACACAAATCATAAAAACTATAAATCCCCACAGTGATGGATAAAAAAGGTGTGAACAGGAACAGCTTATAGAGACCTGCATGTCTGTGTGAGAGCCCAAAAATTTGTCACAGGTTGGAAAATCACAAAAATAGTCTGCAGGCCTACAGACTTAAACTTCAGTTAGTAATACAAATGTGTAATGTTTTGCCAGGTGTCTGAAACTTTTCTTTTAAATGTTGTGAAGAACATATATACCATCAGCGCTGCTCAACCAAAATGGTATTTTATAATACTTTATGACTTAAACTACAGAACAGCACCAATGAAATGTACACCTACAGCACCAGATGGGCACATGTTGGAAAACTAACATTTCATTATTTTTTACGTCTATGCTCTATCATCATATTTCTGTAACATCCTGAACATTCACATTTGTGTGCTGGAAGGAAGATAATCATAAAAAATGATGACTGGCTTTTATTTAGGAAGAGTTAAGAGTACTTTGTGTTAATGAGGTTTGCTAAAATGTAAATGAATACATTATTATGTGGAAGTTTAAAACTAATTGTACAGTAAGGAATCCACATTGTAGAGAGGGTTGAGAAGCAATAATTTTTCAAATATGGGGACAACGACACACACTTTTGGACGATCTTTCCTCCAAGTCAGTGTTTGCTTATTTTCTCAGCAATTGTTGTGTGAAGCAGGTATGATTGGCACTTCAGAAATTCTTGGACACAGCTTCCCAATTCAGACAAAAGCTGTGGGTGGAGGGGGATTTAGACCATGTTTGACCATCTGACAAGCACCTTGGTTTAAGCACACTGACACCTTCAGATACATAAAATACATGCAACACACATTACTTTTGTAGCCTTAGAGCTGCTACAGTTCGTGTCACTTTTGATATCATGCTCATTACACATGTCTTATCACTCACAGTTGAGCTGTTCAGAAGACTTGTCTCCCCAAACTTGGTGTTTTCTTAGAAGCCTTTCCAGCCATCCATTGATCCATGTCTGTTGAAATAACATCAGTGTTTTTAAAGATAGTTTTTTTTTTGAGATGCTTGCAGATGAAGGAGGTCCTCTAACAAAGCAGTGTAGAAAGCGAGCATCAAACACACACACACACACACACACACACACACACACACATCCACATGTCAAATACACACCTGCTGAGATTTGGTCAGAGCCTTTGTCCGTCCTCAGGCCAGCACTGCGTTTTTTATTTTCCTTTATTGTTTTTCCATTTTTTCCTCACTTGTCATGTTCTCTATTGCCTTTTTCTCATGCTGTTCCAAACTAAACAAATAAACCCCAAGCGATTGTCTCCCTCCCCCTCCCCCTGTCTACTCTATCCCTTTCTCTCCCTTTCTGTCTATCTGTGGGCCTTCTGGGGGTTATGCAGAACTACATGTAGTTCTGTCTTGGTCATGCCTCTGTTTGCCCTCTCTTGTTGTTCACTACAGAGCCATGCATGAGTCTTTGTAACTGTTGTGGGCTGGTTTGTGTAACTGTGTTTGTGTGTGTGTTGTTAAGAGTGTAAGAGTGTGAGATTCACAGTAGCAAGGCTGAAAGGCATTTGTATGACCAGCCTTGGAAAGCAGCTCTTTGATTCTCTCTCTGCAACTTGCTCGCTCCCCTCTTTCATTAAGTCCACCTCCTCATGGCCCAAATGATCACAGCCCGTCTTCAAACAGGGGACATGAAGCACAGACACCCTCTGTTTGATTTCTGATAGCCCTACCTTCCTTTCTGATAAACACATACGTACACACACACACACACACTTGTTTGTACAACTGCATGCCTGCAAATGTGCACATCAGTTGAATCCACATGCCTGTACACACGGACACAAACATCCACTCACACACACACAGATGCATACACACATCCGGGGGTCCCACGGCGGCTGGTGCGCTGCTCTGCGCTCCAGGATTGGATCATCAGCCAGCTGTGAGTTGGACAGCCCAGGATCTGTCCTAATCCCTGCCACTCTGTTCACATCGCCTCACATACAGACACACACACTCCAGTCCCAGCCCCAGCCCAGCAGAGGGCTTTACTAAGTTTGTTTTGTTTGTTTGCTCCTGTCTTTCTTCACTTTCTTTCTTTTCTTCTTTCCTTGTCTCCATCCGGCCTTATCTCTCCCTGTGTTGTGATCACAGATCCCAAAGGCCACAGTGAAAACTGCCCAGCATAACTTCTGTTTCAGCACATGCCAGATAGGCATGAATGGGTAGATGTGTGTGTTTGCATGCGTTAGTTTATCCATGGTTAGTCGAGACCTGTGTGTCTGCTTTGGACGAGTTAAATGTCTGCGAGGCCCCAAATCTTCCACCAGTTTTGTTATCTCCATGAAATTAAGCATCCATGTTGATGAGGGTGCTTGCTTAGAGCTGTAGATGGACGAGCTGAAAATACTTCAGTGAGAAGATTACTTTCCGTCGCTTTCTCATGTAGAACTTCTGACTATAGATTCCTGGGCCAGGAAATGTCCAAACATAACTGTTCATATAATCTAACATTTGATTTATATCATGGACTCTTGTATATTGTTATGACAAAACTTGCAGTGAAGGTCAACTGTGATCCTGTCTGGCATTCTGGCATCCTAGATTCTATCAGCAAAGTCTTCAATAACACATTAGGAAAAACGTTCCTGCAGAACTCACTGGTCGACACTGGCGGTGGAGGAAGCTGTGAGCTGAAGAAGGCCTTTTAGGCCTGGCTAGCCACATGGGTAGCTGAAGCGCCTGTGGCCTTTGAAGCAAAACCTTGGGTGTGGAAGGAGTATGAAGAGGCCATGGGGAGGGACATTCAGTTGGCCTCAAAACGTTGACTCAGGAAAAGGAGTTTGGGCCCCTCTTTGGCCATCTTTCTGGCCGAGACCCTTAAGGTAGGCTGAAAGGTGGGTGAGCTAATGTTGCAAAGGACCATGCTCCTTCAAAATGAAAGAAGCCAGTTGAAGCGGTATAGGCATTTGATCATGTCCAACTGGGAGGAGACACCAGGTCAAATCTAGAAAACATTTGAGAGATTTTATGTCCCACCAGTCCTGGGAATGCCTTGGGATCTGTGGTCAGGGAAGCCAGGTCTGGTTAATTGAGAAGAGATAAGGTGTCAGGGCTACCACCAATACAGTGTAAAACAACACTTACAGAAAATGTTACAAGATGAGGGATAATGTAAAATAATGAATATTGTTAAAGCAGTAGGTGAAACAGACAGGCATGCAGGTAGAGAGAGCTAGGAGTGGAGACAGACAGTGTTTCTGTCTTTTGAGGCCACATTCTCCTTTCTGTGACCCTGAAATCAGAAGATGGATGCTG